TCTAGCACTAGATTTATCTAGCATTGTTTCTGCTTAGTTCACTAGTTGTCTGGGACTGTGAGGATTTAATTGATGATTGTCTGGCTGAGTGACTATACATCTAATTCTCCTAGCACAGTTGAACAGAAGGGGACTCGTCTTGTTCTTGAGTTTGGTGCTAATGAATACCCTCGCATCTGCCGCCTCTCCGCCCACAACTCCCTTCAAAACATCACCGTTCATGTCTTTCTGTCCCTTCTCTTAATAGTTTGAGGAAGCTGTTCTAATTCCATCATCAGCCACTCACTCTGATGATTAGTGCCAGTCCACTGGTGGCCTGGAGGTTGCACAGTTGTTTGTTCACGTTGCTCAGAAGTAGCGCTCAGCTGCAATGTCTGACTTAACAGAGTGAATATGTAAAAAAGCTGCCTCAGTGGTTGGCCAAGTGTGATTGTACACACTGACAGCAGGTGCCTGTCGATTATTAAAATTACATACTTGGATGTGAGATCCAGGTGACATGTTGCAACAGTAGCAAAAACACAATGGGTCTTGTTTATCAAGAAAAAAATACATGACATTCTAATAATAAACAGGTATTTTTTTTCCCTTTGAAATAGCTGATGTTATCATTTGTGTCAGATATACACCAAATAAGACGGTCAGGAAATAGAATCTCGAGAAGGCTGAAAATTCTTCTGTTTCGTGCCTTGCTATAGTCCATCAGCTTAGAAAATAAATATGCTCCCATTGTCCACAGGATAAAATTTATGCTTTCTAGCCTTCATTTTTTTCCACTTCTACTTATTCAGGGTTAGTTCAGTCTCGCTCAGCTAAGAGTCAATGTAAATGTAAAACATTTCCTCTGAAAAACCACGGTGCTGGAAAATATCCACAGTGCGCTAAAAGATTTAACAAGGAAGGAATAACCATGCAGATGGTATAAAAATATGTTAATACTGTCCCTCTAGACATCACAGTTGTATTGAAGTCAGCCTGAAGCTAGATGATTAGGCACAAGAAGCAAGTTAAAGGCAAAGACTTTAAAATATGCCAATGTGTTAAGTGAATAACAAATCAAATAATGGAGGAAATAAAGAAATGGTGAGTTATGCACAATAATTTCTTCAGATTTCAAGAAAAACTAACATTTTGTCTGTCCTTTTAGATGATTCTCAACAACAACAAAAAAACCTGTGGTTTAAATTTGCACTGTTACTATTAATTCTTTAACATGAGCCCTGTTAAGGCATAAGGGGAGAAAGAAAATATGTGTGCAAATAGATGTTTTAGTATGGACTGGCTAATTTATATGACAAACAAATGTTGTGAGGTACATCATTTGTTGATGCCAGTCTGTCAGCTGTAGGTTTGTCTGGCATATCTGCATAATTTACATATTTTAAGCTTTGCTGCCATCTTAAACAGCTGAAGTGTTTTGCATCACACGGAATGAATAATGTCTCTTCAAATTTCACTCAGACTCAAGCTCACAAAATGCATGACGAACCACCAAAATTGAGCTTGTATAGCACAAATGTACCCGAGGGAGCAGCACCCCTCTAGTTAGCTACATTTTCTGAGCCACTGGTTAAGATACAATGCTACAGCCCATTAGAAAATCTGAGGATGTGTGTGGACTCCTAAAGACCATTCTAGAGCTAGACTCACTGTCAGATCATCCCCACAGCACTTTCGTATACCCGTTTGCTCCCACCCGGAGCATTGCATGACAACTTTGGCTGCAGCAATACTGGCAGGAACCTGCAGTCCCTGGAGGAGTCATGTGATTATGCATCCCTGTAACCATGATATTCTGAATTACACAGAGAAGACTAAAATCTGCCCGGCATGTACTGTCCTTTATGTAAGAAAGGCTGTGGAAAACAAAAATGATCCCTTAACACTATGTACACAAGGCAGTTACTATAAATATAATACATACTGAAAATATGTGGATCCTATCCTGGGCTTCCTTATAATAGACAAGATATACTGAGCTGTACAAATAGATTAATGAGTATTTGGACCATTTATTTTTTGTTTTTAGTTTTGCTTCTGTACACCACTGCAGTGGACATCAATGAAGATTGATTCATGTGAAGGCAATTATTAGGATGGAAATCAAAATAATAAAGTTAGAATTGGGAAATTGAACATCTGATACACTGCTAAAAAAGAACAAATGCACTGACAAGAACAGCAACACCAAAAAGTAGCATCTAACCAAGTCAAGTCATCTTGTGGGGGTAGGTGCATCACTGTCAAAGTCGTCTACATAAATGTAAATATTGGTCAATTGACGTTGCCAGAAAAAATGTGGAACATTTTGAAAAAAAGAAAAAAGAAAAAATCTTTGGACATATGAAACCAAGCTTGACTTGTTCTACAATTATGAGGAGTGAAAAGTATGGCGAAGGAGAGAAACAGTTTGTGATCCAAAGCATACCACATCATCTGTCAAACATGGTTGAAGTAATGTTATGGCATGTATGGCTGCCTGTGGAACCGAGTGGTTATTGATGATGTGACTGCTTAAAGAAGCAGCACTAGCAGGCTATGCTAGTGCTACTTCTCTGCTCAGACTCAGCCAAATGCTGCAAAACTGATCAGACAGGACTTCACAGTGCAAATATATAATTAATCAGAGCGCACCAAAAGCAACCTAAGAGTTTCTCAAGGCAACAGAATGGGAAACTCTTCAATGGCCTTGTTACTTTTCTTTTATTAAAGAAAAATAAATTGAAGGCAGAAAGGCCCACAAAAAACAGGAACTAAAGGTGGTGGCAGTAAAGGACTTAGAGAGCAGAAACAACATTTCGTGATGTCCATGGGTTGTAGAATTCAGGCAGTCATTTCATTTACTTTTGGTAAATCCATTGAATTACTGCCATAAGTTTATACTCAAATCACATCTCGCTTGTGTGATTTAAATTAACTAAGGTGGTGTAGAAAGAAAAAATACACACAAAAAAGTGTCATTCTCCAAATATGTATGGCTCTATCTAGAAATACGAAGTGTACTCATGAGGTGTACTCCTCAGAGCCAACACTGATCCTTCAAAATGTCCTCAAAATGATTACGATGGTGCTTTGAATACAAAAAATATAAACCAATTGGTGTGGATTCAAGAATGTATCCTATGATGTGCAACAAAACATGCCTTTCAAAGAATATTAAAGCTTTGCTGAGCCATGCTGAGGAAGACATTTCTATATTTTCTAATATTTAGGTGTTGCTACTCTATTTTGGGTAAGTCACATTTACAACATATGTATGGTTGCTACACATAACATAGGTTTCTCACGAAAAAAAACCCCCAAGAAACAACTTATAAGTAGCTGCAGCTTTAACAGTGCCAAAGAATGTGAGAATTAACTCAGAAAATGAATTCAGAATGCCGGTTTGAGCTACAACATACAAATGAGCTTTATTGTGTTTAGGGAGAACCAGAAAATCCCCACAAAATCACTCTGACACAGTCACTGTGCTCATAAAGTAGGCATCTATTCAGTCAAGGGAATCAGTGAAGCCGCCAGAAGATGTGTCTCTTGACATTATGACGACAGTTTTGGGTCTCTGGTTTCTTTATGAGAAAGAATTATTCACTATCTTCAAAGACAACTGTACAGCTCAAGAAGTGCAGTGTAAATGTGATACAAAGTGCAGTGTAAATTCCGATTACAGTGAGACAGGGATGCTAGATAATACCAGCTATAATACCCGACACCACAATGTCTCGTTTTGTATGGGGAAGCCAATGTTGTATCCTCTGACGCACACATACACACATACACACAGACACACACTCGTTCTTATGGCTCGATTTGTATGTCCTATTACATTGCCAGCATCTGCGTAAGCCTCACCACTTCCAGGACAGTTCACTGCCTTGAAACAAAGACGAGGTATCATCAGTAAAAGAAGACAACAGAAACACAAGACAACAGGGACTGAATACAGCAATAAGGCAAAGAGATCATGTGGTGCACAAAAAGAAGGCACACAGATTACAGATAATGTCTTGAGCTACAATTAGCTTCATGGTTCTTATCTCAGTTTTTTTCCCTTCCTGTTCTGTGACTTGCCCATAAAGCCAAGGGTGACAAATCAGCTGAAGCCACAACAGTGCCATAATTCTGACTCTGACATGTTCTAGTTTTAACCGTAGTAATGTAATTGTAGTACATCATAGTCAAGTCATTAGGTTCATGTCTTATATTCACCTATTTTGGAATTAAAAAGCAAATATAACAGAATGCCATGGGTGGGTGAATATTTTTTTAAATTATTATTTTAAAACCAAATTGCAATATATTGTTTGCATGGAATTCCCCATCTGTGCTAATGATAAACACAGAGCAGGGGAGACGGTGTGGGTGTTTTTGTGTGCATGCATGTGCGTCCGAGCGTGTGTGCATCTTGTTCATGGCAAGAAATCAGCTCAGTTTAGCACATAATGGAAATGTGAATAGCCCAGAGCGCCTTTCTCCCACACAGGGAGAGAACTGGCTGGGAGCTGGCCGCGTCTTTCCAAATCCAAACACTGAAAGGGAGTTCGCTGGGTTAAAATCCTGCCTCCTTTTGCTCTCCCTCCCTGGAGCGATTCACAGCTTTGCCCATACATTACTCAAACAGGTCATCCAAACAGGTCTCACTAGCAGTCAGGAAACATATTCACACACATATGCGCACACACGTTATGCACACGGCTGGGTAAATTAACACACACTTGTAGGTTCAGCGGAAAGGTTATGTGATCTTGCGTGCACCGTGACAGATGACATCAGATGACATATACGGTAGCACAACAGCTCCACATTGTTTGCTTAATTTAACCTCTACTTTTTTATGCAATATTAGCACATTTTCATATTTTCATATACCCCACAAAAGGTTACCACCCTCACCCATGCTCCATATTCATTTATTTCCCTTTTTTTTTCATGCGACATTGAGATTTCTTTGACCATGTTATTACCTTTGTGCCTAGAGGGGCACAATGAAAAGTCAAACTTACGTGCTACTTCTAGAGACGCGTTCCGGCTTTTGGCCTCCCCCAGATAGTTTCGGGCCACGCAAACATAGATGCCATCGTCTGGCTTGCTCCGTCGTCCATGAACGATGCGCAGGAAGAAGAGGGACCCACTGGGAAGCAGCATACGGTGGGAACGGGGATTTTCCCTGTTTGTCTCAACACGCTCCCCGTCTTTGTACCATTCCACCGTAGGCGGTGGACGACCCTCTGCCTTACAGTTGAGAGTGGCTGGCTCCCCTTTGGACACAATGAGGTCAGAAGGGTGTTCCACAATGCGGGGAGGGAAGTCTTCCTGGCGAAGACGAGACCCTAAAGGAAAGGAATGATGATAATGTTTATTTCATATACACATATATTTCTTTTTTAACCAACAGTATGTTTGGGATAAAGGTTGGTAACCCCTGAGTTACCAAAAACAGCAATATCAACTACAAATGAGCAACCTTTAAAAGTTAATAGGCACTCAGAATGCACTGTGTCATACAACAGCAGTAAAGCAATACTGGCTTATCACAGTTTCTCTAAAATAAAAAAAAAGAGAGAAAAACAGGGAATTGTTGATTATCATACTTCTTTTGATTAAAATAATGACAGCTGATGACAGAGAGAAATCTTGGGGAATTATGTTGGAAAATAAGTAATGGTTTTCGTCTGTCACTAAAATAATAATTTCCACTGCAATTTAAACTGTAACTCATGCCTCTGCATCAATTTGTAAATATGATTGGTGGAACACACAAAGTATAATGTGATTACAGTACCTGGAAAAAAAAAAGAAAGCTGATTAGTGTCAGGTTTTTATTTGCTCTACAATATACTGTGTTTCTAAACTGAAGCTTCCATATTTACTTTCACAGACAGGAGCTGAGGAGTCATTACATCTCATTAACTTTTTCATTAACACGTTCCATCAAACACTGACATCATCAAACATGTTGTCACAGTGGGTGTATAACAGCAGCTGCTACAATGGATTTTTTGATTTGTACTTTAACACTAAGGATGTGCAAAGTTCACTATGTGCTTTTCAAATCAACAGCTATATTTCGCCATAAATAATATTTACGTTGTAACCCCCAGTATTTGATAGCTGATCTCCATCAAATGTCACGGGAATGCCTGATTTTTTTTTTTCCATTTATTGACCAATTCAGTGGTGTTTCATATATTCCACCTCTAAATGTCACAGAGTAATGACCCGAATGTAGTGGCACTGTGTTTGTTTACCGACATGACAATCTCACAACTTTCATCTGTTCCATGGTGTATGAGCACATTAAAATATCTGAGTTAAAAGGTCTTCTCTGTCGTGTGCATACAAACAAGTCAAGTGTGTAGTGTTTAAGTCGCTAGAACTTACGTTTTCGACTGTCTTACGGAGAAAATAAATAAGATATATAATAAATAAATGAAAGTGATGTTTGGCTTCTCTTGTCTTTTTAACTGTGAGGGGGACAAATCATACAAACTGCAGAGGCAGCCGTGATCATTGACTGCTCTACAGCAACTGAAATAAAGTCATAAAAGTGAATAAAAATTGATGTGATGGTCTATAATGTTAAGAGGTTTGTTGACAAAAAGCGTTCCATTAGCTGGCACCAGCATGCCAAAGCAGGGAGATACACTGCGTATTAAAAATGCTTTTAAAACTCTATAATCTATAACATTTGTGTGGCTCTGCAAAGTCACACAAACACATATTTTGTGAAATACTGGCTTTGTTTAATTGGTCTTCCCATTACCCGGTCTCCACAGTAGCTAATGCAGAGTTTGAGGCTTGTTCTGTCAGACAACAGAATTTAAATTAGATGATTTAAGTTGTGGGTGGCACATTGGCTCAGTGGTTGGTACTGTCATCTAACAGCAAGAAGGTCCTGTGGGGTCCTGTCAGTCTGTTGGCCCTGTGATAGACTGGCATCTCATCAGGAGGGGGTTGTCTATTTCTTACTCGGGGCAGGCTCCATGCACACTATGACCCTGAATGTAAATGAGTGAAAAAAGAAGGGAAAGATTTGGATTTTTTTTTTAAATGTAACTCCTTAAAATGGGGGTTAAAAAGGCAGATATAATTTTAATGGAGTCTGAAAGTAAAGAGTTATATTTAGATACATTTAGAACAGTTAAAATATTTTTAAAATATTTTGTCCATGTCCAGCCTTTGAGGCTCATTTTTTTCCCCAAATATGTCCATTTAGTGAGAACTATCCATGGTGCTGAAGCCCACACTCAAAGCCTTGCAGAAAATAAGTAGTTATTTGGGAGCTTACATGCAGTGGACACTTTGATAAAAACCAGGTTACGCTGACAGTGTTTTACCAGTACAAGCTTCAGCTTATAACTTGGAAGATTCCTTTAACTGAAAACATAAGAATGGGTATGCTGGATGTGTATTAACATATATCTCCATATTAATACATATATATCCACAGAAACCCATTAAAACCAATGCAACAGCCATGCATTAACAATGGCTTATGATGTAACTGTCAGAATGTGCTGATTCAACCCAGTAAATGTATAGAAAAATGTGGTGTGCCAATCACAGGAAACACCTGTCAGCAGGAGTCCAATACAAACTTCAACTCCTATGATGACCTCAGCGTTCAATCAACACCCGCCCCCCAACTACAGGTTTCATAAAGATAAGATGATTGCTGCTCTTGTGTGCTGCATTGACACACTGTACCATATAAACTCAGGATTTCCAGTGTACAGGAAACACCCGTTTCAAAAGCCACTTTATGTGCTGTGTAGTGCTTACACCTGCACACATTTACTCTACTGACACAGATTTGTGCTATATGGGACAAAGTAGCACAAAACACTTCAGGAGATTGAACAACGCAAGATTCTTGAAATGTAAAGGTGCAAATGAATTTTTGTGCATACAGTGTTTATGTTAAAAGGTCCATTGTACTGAACACATGCACAGCTTGGGACAGATTTTAAGACTATGTGAAGGTACACTGCCTCCACATCAGACTAGACATTTCAAATTTGAGACAGCAGAAGGTCCATTAAGTTAACTGGTCAACCTGAACGTGAGTCCACGTATCTGACGCAAGATAAAGAGAATTAAAGCAATATGTGGGTCCAGCAGGAGCCATTATAGGTTTCGACATGAGTAGAACATTTTTTTTGTCAGATTACTCAATATTGATAAGCTGTCAACCATTTAATTCAAGTAAGAAATCTATTCAGCTAAGGGTACCCCGTATAAATAAATAATCACTTTGTCTACCTAACCATTAAATAGTTGGTCTGGAACAAAATCTTATACAGGGGCTAAACTAAAAAGAAAGAGAAGAAAGTATATAATATGATGACCAAGAATTGAAGGGTGCCAGCTGTTAATCGCGTACCATACTCAGTATCTTCTTGGTGGACTTAAGCTGGAATCACTGTGGTCGAATACGCATTGGGTCACAGTTGACTATTCTTTCTATAGCATAACGTGGGACAAGACATCCTTTTAACCACGACGCTAAGTAAGAGATGCATGCACTGTATGAACTTACCATAGGTCTGGGTGTGCAGAAGTCCACAGAGAAATAAATACTGTAGAGGACCCATTCTGGCATATTGGCCTCGTGAGCTATCGGCGCATGAATTCCTCCTCAAGCAGAAACAAAAAAAGAAAAAATGAAAAAGAATCTCATCAATCCTGTTTTCACTTGTGAGACTTTGTGACGATTTGTGAACTAAAAGAACCAAAACAGTTATTGTAGCCGCCGAGGGAAATCGTTCTCATTCACATGTCCATTCTCCCACTCCAAGAGCGCACAAGTAAGCTGTGGTCTGTCGACTCGCCGACACGTTGGCAGTTTCTGCAGTCACCAATTGCAAACATCACCGACGCCCAAAGACCCTCCAGTGACTGTCGGTCCCCCAGTTCAGACGCATTGGTCTGATACTTTACAAGGTCCGACGGCGGTGGAACTCATCCATCCCTACGTGGGACAAGTTGAGGGATGAAAGGTGGAGACGGGATTCAGTGAGAGGTGAGCAGCTGAACGGTGCAGCACAGCACAGCTCAGCCCCTCCTCTCCTCTCTCTTGCCCTGGGAGAAAAAGCCGCGCGAATGTAACAAGCACAATAAATCTGAGCATTAAAACTCAGCAGCAGTTTAGATCTGAACTGGTACAGCTATGGTCAGGAGTCGTTTTCTTTCTTTCTGTTTTTCAAGGAGATCACAGACAGCTGATATACTCATAGGCATAGTCAGCAACATGATGAGAGTCGAGTAAATGAAAGCGCGCTGTTTTGGCTGGCTTCTATTAGATTTTATTTCCTTTCATTCAATTTGTATGTACTTGGACTGATAAGATCTTAAAGCACGCCTTATTAAACCTAACTGCTATTTCAAAATGTTATTATACATGTATAAATATATATTTAGCTAGTTCATCTCCGTTTGAATGAATTAAAACATCAGAATGCGTAACATACACTTGCTCGGTTTATACTTTTAGAGACTCGGTGTTAGATCCCCCAACACATTATTCCCATTCCCAACATTGCACCTGCAACTAGATATACTAGAGCCATTTTGTGTATCCAGCACACAAACATTCCTCCTTTATCTTGCAGATGTGCTCTCTCAGAGCTGATGCATCATTTCTGTTATCATTTGTCTCCTCCTGAACTTGACCCAGCGTCACCCCGCCAAAAGACACGAACGGTTGAGTAAAACGATTGAAACAAAGCTGTCTGATTTTTAGTAGCTGGCATTTTATATTCATGTTCATGGTTGAGAGAGCTATTACAAAGGTGTACAGCTGTGAAGAAATGGCACTTCATTCCTGCCCGCTGCCTGAGGCTCTTATCCAGTTTTTTCGTCAATACTGCTCAATATTGTCAATAGCATTATAAACGCAGTGCCTCACTGTTAGATGAGAATGAGATGAGGCTGTATCAGGTGCTATTGATCTGGCGAGTGAAATTAAAGCATTTTTTTAGTGCTGTGTTCACAGCAGTAGATCGAATAATAATTGTGGACAATGACTAAAATTAGTCTGTATGAAAGGGGTGTAAAGTGAACAGAATTATTTACACTGGATAGATCTCATTTATCACACAATTGTGTTTTCAAAATATTTTTTTTCCTATGGCAGCAGCCTTGTTCTTGGTGTTGTGGAGACATCTTTTATGTCTATAACTCTTTGCCTTAAAAGGGCAAGCCTTTACCAAAACTAGATTACTGTCATTAAGTGTCATCTGGGAGGAATAAAGTACTGCATTACCATTCCTGCCAAACCACAAAGGAATGGTCGCTTTAAGTGACCTGACACCAAATGACAGTTTTTCAAAATTTGATGTTCAAAGTGACCTTAGCTCACAGCGAGCCCTGCCTCTCGGAAGTACAAAGAGGAGATAATAAATAGGCTTTTCAAGAAATTAAAAACCTCACAAAATCCATCAAGGTGAACTTTAATGACAAGTAGAGGAATCTTCAAGAACACGGTGAGTGTAATTGTGGCAAATAACTTGATACATAATGCTGCTATTCATCATTAACACTGATGAATAGCACATGCTAACACATATTCTATGGTGCTTGTTCTGTGCTTTATTTTAAAATCCCAAATGTTATTAATTAAGTTACTTATTAAGTAAAAGTATTTTTAAGTATCCCTCAATTAAAATAGATGAATGAATGCACCTGAAAAAGGTTATGTTGCATAAGTATTTGTGTACTGGCATGTGAGATCTTGCATAAGGTTAAAAAAAAAGAAATACATTTATTGAGTGTGGTGATTTGATGTTTATCTTGAAGTTGAATAAGATAAGGGAGGCAGAGAAAGACCCCATCTTTCATCGCACACTACAAGATAGACAGGTTTCCAGGCAACGTGGGATTCTGCTGCCTTTCTCACACAAACCAAAATCAAAAAGACTCTCATCAATCTACCTCTCTCCCCGCGCTGATCACACATAGGAGACAGTGTCAAGGTCAGAAGTTTTGTCTGCACCATTACCTGCTCATAGCTGTGTTTGTCCAAGCCAGAAGTGTTGGAGGTAACAGATGGTGTGTGTGACAGTGTGCTCAACACGCTCACGCTCAGCCTTACTGAGAGTAGACAGAGTAGACATGTGTCCTGACCACAAAGTCCAAACCTGCATACAAGTGTCAAACCTCTGTCTCACCGCTCAGGGTGCTGAGTGCAGTGGCAATGCCTTGAAAATCAAACTAGTGATCCGAGTAATTGATATAATAAAACTATTATAAAAATTGCTCAGATCAGTGACTTTTTGGATTTTCAAGGCATTGCCACTGCACTCAGCACCTTAATAATA